AAGAACGCACCTTTTGACTCCCCGGAACGCACCTTTTGACTCCTAAGAACGCACTTTTGACTCTCAGGAACGCACCTTTTGACTCCCAGGAACGCACCTTTTGACTCCCAGGAACACACCTTTTGACTTCCAGGAACGCATTGTTTTACTCCCAGGAACGCATTTTTTGACTCCCAGGAACGCACCTTTTGACTCCCAAAAACACACCTTTTGACTCCCAAGAACCCCCCTTTTGACTCCCAAGAACACACCTTTTGTCTCCCAGGAACGCACGTTTTGACTCCCAAGAACCCACCTTTCGACTCCCAGGAACTCACCTTATGACTTTCAGGAACGAATTTTTTTACTCCCAGGAACGCACGTTTTTGCTTCGAGAAACGCACCTTTTAACTCCCAAGAACGCACCTTTTGACTCCCAAGAATATACCTTTTGACTCTCAGGAACGCACCTTTTGACTCCCAGGAACGCATCTTTTGACTCCCAGGAACGCACCATTTGAGTCCCAGGAACACACCTTTTGACTCCCAGGAACGCATCTTTGGACTCTTAGGAATGCACCTTTTGACTTCCAAGAACGCATTTTTTTACTCCGAGGAACGCATTTTTGACTCCTAGGAACGCACCTTTTGACTCCCAAGAACGCACCTTTTGACTCCTAAAAACGCACCTTTTGACTCCCAAGAACGCACCTTTTGACTCCTAAAAACGCACCTTTTGACTCCCAGGAACGCACCTTTTCACTCCCAGGAACGCACTTTTTGACTCCCAGAAACGCACCTTTTGACTCCCAAGAACGCACCTTTTGACTCCCAGGAACACACCTTTTGACTTCCAGGAACACATATGTTTACTCCTAGGAACGCATTTTTTTACTCCCAAGAACGCACCTTTTGACTCCCAAAAACGCACCTTTTGAATCCCAAAAACGCATCTTTTGACTACCAAGAACGCACCTTTTGACTCCCAAGAACGCACCTTTTGACTCCCAGGAATGCACCTTTTTACTCCCAGGACCCCACCTTTTTACTCCTATGAACGCATCTTTTGACTCCTTGGAATGAACCTTTTGACTGCCACGAACGCACCTTTTGACTCCCAGGAACACACCTATTGGCTTCCAGAAGCGCATTTTTATACTCCCCGAAACGCAATTTTTACTTCGAGGAACGCACCTTTTGACTCCCAAGAACTCACCTTTTGACTTCCAAAAACGCATCTTTTGAGACCCTGGAACGCACCTTTTGACTCCCAGGAGCGCACCTTTGGACTCCCAGGAACACACCTATTGACTTCCAGGAACGCATTTTTTTACTCCCACGAACGCATTTTTTTACTCCCAGGAACAAACCCAAGACCGCACCTCTTGACTCCTAAGAACGCACTTTTGACTCCCAGGAACGCACCTTTTGACTCCCAGGAACACACCTTTTGACTTCCAGGAACGCATTGTTTTACTCCCAGGAACGCATTTTTTGACTCCCAGGAACGCACCTTTTGACTCCCAAAAACACACCTTTTGACTCCCAAGAACGCACCTTTTGACTCCCAAGAACACACCTTTTGTCTCCCAGGAACGCACCTTTTGACTCCCAAGAACCCACCTTTCGACTCCCAGGAACTCACCTTATGACTTTCAGGAACGATTTTTTTTACTCCCAGGAACGCACGTTTTTGCTTAGAGGAACGCACCTTTTAACTCCCAAGAACGCACCTTTTGACTCCCAAGAATATACCTTTTGACTCTCAGGAACGCACCTTTTGACTCCCAGGAACGCATCTTTTGACTCCCAGGAACGCACCATTTGAGTCCCAGGAACACACATTTTGACTCCCAGGAACGCATCTTTGGACTCTCAGGAATGCACCTTTTGACTTCCAGGAACGCATTTTTTTACTCCCAGGAACGCATTTTTGACTCCTAGGAAAGCACCTTTTGACTCTCAAGAACGCACCTTTTGACTCCCAAGAACACACCTTTTGTCTCCCAGGAACGCACCTTTTGACTCCCAAGAACGCACCTTTCGACTCCCAGGAACTCACCTTATGACTTTCAGGAACGAATTTTTTTACTCCCAAGAACGCACGTTTTTGCTTCGAGGAACGCACCTTTTAACTCCCAAGAACGCACCTTTTGACTCCCAAGAACATACCTTTTGACTCTCAGGAACGCACCTTTTGACTCCCAGGAACGCATCTTTTGACTCCCAGGAACGCACCATTTGAGTCCCAGGAACACACCTTTTGACTCCCAAGAACATACCTTTTGACTCTCAGGAACGCACCTTTTGACTCCCAGGAACGCATCTTTTGACTCCCAGGAACGCACCATTTGAGTCCCAGGAACACACATTTTGACTCCCAGGAACGCATCTTTGGACTCTCAGGAATGCACCTTTTGACTTCCAGGAACGCATTTTTTTACTCCCAGGAACGCATTTTTGACTCCTAGGAAAGCACCTTTTGACTCCCAAGAACGCACCTTTTGACTCCCAAGAACACACCTTTTGTCTCCCAGGAACGCACCTTTTAACTCCCAAGAACGCACCTTTCGACTCCCAGGAACTCACCTTATGACTTTCAGGAACGAATTTTTTTACTCCTAGGAACGCACGTTTTTGCTTCGAGGAACGCACCTTTTAACTCCCAAGAACGCACCTTTTGACTCCCAAGAACATACCTTTTGACTCTCAGGAACGCACCTTTTGACTCCCAGGAACACATCTTTTGACTCCCAGGAACGCACCATTTGAGTCCCAGGAACACACCTTTTGACTCCCAGGAACGCATCTTTGGACTCTCAGGAATGCACCTTTTGACTTCCAGGAACGCATTTTTTTACTCCCAGGAACGCATTTTTGACTCCTAGGAAAGCACCTTTTGACTCCCAAGAACGCACCTTTTGACTCCCAAGAACACACCTTTTGTCTCCCAGGAACGCACCTTTTGACTCCCAAGAACGCACCTTTCGACTCCCAGGAACTCACCTTATGACTTTCAGGAACGATTTTTTTTACTCCCAGGAACGCACGTTTTTGCTTCGAGGAACGCACCTTTTAACTCCCAAGAACGCACCTTTTGACTCCCAAGAACATACCTTTTGACTCTCAGGAACGCACCTTTTGACTCCCAGGAACGCATCTTTTGACTCCTAGGAACGCACCATTTGAGTCCCAGGAACACACCTTTTGACTCCCAGGAACGCATCTTTGGACTCTCAGGAATGCACCTTTTGACTTCCAAGAACGCATTTTTTTACTCCCAGGAACGCATTTTTGACTCCTAGGAACGCACCTTTTGACCCCCAAGAACGCACCTTTTGACTCCCAAGAACACACCTTTTGTCTCCCAGGAACGCACCTTTTGACTCCCAAGAACGCACCTTTCGACTCCCAGGAACTCACCTTATGACTTTCAGGAACGAATTTTTTTACTCCCAGGAACACACGTTTTTGCTTCGAGGAACGCATCTTTTAACTCCCAAGAACGCACCTTTTGACTCCCAAGAACATACCTTTTGACTCTCAGGAACACACCTTCTGACTCCCAGGAACGCATCTTTTGACTCCCTGGAACGCACCATTTGAGTCCCAGGAACACACCTTTTGACTCCCAGGAACGCATCGTTGGACTCTCAGGAATGCACCTTTTGACTTCCAAGAACGCATTTTTTTACTCCCAGGAACGCATTTTTGACTCCTAGGAACGCACCTTTTGACTCCCAAGAACGCACCTTTTGACTCCTAAAAACGCACCTTTTGACTCCCAAGAACGCACCTTTTGACTCCTAAAAGCGCACCTTTTGACTCCCAGGAACGCACCTTTTCACTCCCAGGAACGCACTTTTTGACTCCCAGAAACGCACCTTTTGACTCCCAAGAACGCACCTTTTGACTCCCAGGAACACACCTTTTGACTTCCAGGAACACATATGTTTACTCCTAGGAACGCATTTTTTTACTCCCAAGAACGCACCTTTTGACTCCCAAAAACGCACCTTTTGAATCCCAAAAACGCATCTTTTGACTACCAAGAACGCACCTTTTGACTCCCAAGAACGCACCTTTTGACTCCCAGGAACGCACCTTTTTACTCCCAGGACCGCACCTTTTGACTCCCAAGAACGCACCTTTTGACTCCCAAGAACACACCTTTTGTCTCCCAGGAACGCACCTTTTGACTCCCAAGAACGCACCTTTCGACTCCCAGGAACTCACCTTATGACTTTCAGGAACGATTTTTTTTACTCCCAGGAACGCACGTTTTTGCTTCGAGGAACGCACCTTTTAACTCCCAAGAACGCACCTTTTGACTCCCAAGAACATACCTTTTGACTCTCAGGAACGCACCTTTTGACTCCCAGGAACGCATCTTTTGACTCCTAGGAACGCACCATTTGAGTCCCAGGAACACACCTTTTGACTCCCAGGAACGCATCTTTGGACTCTCAGGAATGCACCTTTTGACTTCCAAGAACGCATTTTTTTACTCCCAGGAACGCATTTTTGACTCCTAGGAACGCACCTTTTGACTCCCAAGAACGCACCTTTTGACTCCTAAAAACGCACCTTTTGACTCCCAAGAACGCACCTTTTGACTCCTAAAAACGCACCTTTTGACTCCCAGGAACGCACCTTTTGACTCCCAGGACCTCACCTTTTGACTCCCAAAAACACACCTTTTGACTTCCATAAATGCATTTTTTTACTCCCAGGATCGAATTTTCTTACTCCCAGGAATGCACCTTTTGACTCCCAAGAACGCTCCTTTTGACTCCCAAGATCGCACATTTTGACTCCGAGGAACCCACCTTTTGACTCCCAGGACCACTTCTTCTCACTCCCAGGAACGCACCTTCTGACTCCCAGGAACGCACCTTTTGACTCCCAAGAACGCACCTTTTGACTCTGAGGAACGCACCTTTTGACTCCCAGGAACGCACTTTTTAACTCCCAGGAACGCACCTTTTGACTACGGAACGCACCTTTTGACTCCCAGGAACTTACCTTTTAACTCCCAGGAACACACCATTTGACTCCCAGGAACGCACCTTCTGACTCCCAGGAACACACCTTTTGACTCCCAGGAACACACCTTTTGACTCTCAGGAACGCACCTTTTGACTCCCAAGAACGCACCTTTTATCTCCCAGGAACGCACCTTTTGACTCCCAGGAACGCACCTTTTGACTCCAAGGAACGCACCTTCTGACTCCCAGGAACGCACCTTATGACCCCCAGGAACGCACCTTTTGACTCTCAGGAACGCACCTTTTGACTCCCAAGAATGCACCTTTTGACTCCTTGGAACGCACCTTTTGACTCCCAGCAACGCACCTTTTGACTCCCAGGAACACGTGAGCAAAGGTGATGATGGGGGAGATGTCAGCGAGGGCACAAAAGCCCATGCCCGTCTGGGGGCTGCAGTGATGCAGCCCCCCTCCCACGTTCTTCGCTGCTCTCCTCTCCACTGCTAGCTTCGCTGCCCGCACACTGCCCCCCACCTGCGCCGAGAGGAGGCTAGGAAAGGGTGAGAGTGGTGGAGAGAGCAGGAGAAGGGACGACAGAGGAGGGAGGAGGAGGAGAGTAAGGAATGGATATTGTGCTTCTCTTCTCTCCACTGCAAGCTTGCCCACCAAAACAATTTCCCCAACTGCTCGAAGAGGAGGCAGGAAGAGGAATGGAAAGGAGATGGTGCCAGGCCAGCACACTCCCCCCCACCCCCACCCCCACCCCCACCCCCACCCCAAACCCCCACCATCTCCATCACCATCATCACCAGCACCAGCACCATCACCATCACCACCATCACCATCACCATCACCAGCACCATCACCATCACCATCATCATCAGCACCAGCACTATCACCATCATCACCAGCACCAGCACCATCACCATCACCATCATCACCAGCACCATCACCATCATTATCAACACCATCACCATCACCAGCACCATCACCACCATCACCATCATCACCATCACCATCACCATCATCACCATCACCATCACCATCATCCCCATCACCATCATCATCATCCCCATCACCATCACCATCATCACCATCACCATCACCACCATCACCATGATCACCATCACCATCATCACCATCACCCTCATCACCATCACCATCATCACTATCACCATCATCACCATCACCATCATCATCATCACCAGCACCATCGTCACCATCACCATCATTACCATCACCATCATCACCATCACCATCATCACCATCACCATCACCATCATCACCATCATCACCATCACCATCATCACCATCATCACCATCACCATCCCCATCATCACCATCACCATCATCACCATCACCATCATCACCATCACCATCACCGTCACCATCCTCATCACCATCACCATCACTATCACCATCGGTATCTGTCAAACTTATATGCTGCTTGTTGCTTGCACAAACGTGTTCGAGTTCGGTTCATGCTCATGTCTAATCACCAGCACCATCATCATCACCATCATCACCATCACCGTCATCACCATCACCATCATCACCATCACCATCACCATCATCACCATCACCATCATCACCATCACCATCACCACCATCACCATCACTATCACCATAATCACCGTCATCACCATCACCATCATCACCATCACCATCACCATCATCACCATCACCATCACCATCATCACCATCATCACCATCACTATCATCACCATCATCACCATCACCATCATCACCATCACCATCACCATCATCACCATCACCATCATCACCATCACCATCATCACCATCAACATCACCATCATCACCATCATCACCATCACCATCACCATCACCATCATCACCATCACCATCATCACCATCACCATCATCACCATCACCAGCACCATCACCATCACCATCATCACCATCACCATCACCATCGTCACCATCACCATCACCGTCATCACCATCATCATCATCACCATCACCATCATCACCATCACCATCATCACCATCACCAGCACCATCATCACCATCACCATCATCACCATCGCCATCATCACCATCACCATCACCATCATCACCATCACCATCACCATCATCACCATCACCATCATCACCATCACCATCATTACTATCACCATCACTATCTGTCAAACGCATATGCTGCTTGTTGTTTGCACAAACATGTTCGAGTTCGGTTCGTGCTCATATCTAATCACCAGCACCATCATCATCACCATCATCACTATCACCATCATCACCATCACCATCACCATCATCACCATCACCATGTTTTTATCCGTTAAAATATATATATATGTATATATATATAAAAAACGGCGGTTTTCCCACCGTATCCTCTAAAGTACATGTGTTAACACAAAAACAAAGACGTATTTAGTACTGACTAAAATAAAAACCCTTAGAAGTATTAATATTAGATTTTGTGTAGCCTCATGGTGAATATAATCTGCTAAAATTTCTACTAAACCTAAATGAAGATGCCAAACTACAAAAATAGTTAAAGAAATCAAAGCCATCCGGTGTAACATCAATCCCCCTCACACATGAACCCCCTTCCCCATGGCACTCCCCCTCGCCTCCCAAATAGCACACTCTTCACCTCCCAGAAACCACACGCCTCACCTCCCCGACGGTGGCGAGATTGAAGCTGCTTCAAAGGCTGTCCAGGTACTCCTGAGAATGCACCTGAAGAGGCATGGCCGCACCAGAAGCATTCATGCAACACGGACAACGGATGCAGTGGGAAGGGTGATAGAATTGGAGCTGAAGTGATTGATTGATCAAGAAGGCACTCCCTTAAGTACAAACAAGGTTGGGTTGAGCAAAGCTAGGGAAAGGATGGGATGGGAAGCCTAGCAAATCTCCAATTGGTGAGTTGGCAGATTTGCAGGATTACAAGGGAATCCCAACCAGATAGGGTTGGGATCACAAATCTACACCCAACCCACAAATAACCTAAACCATATAAAATAGAGTACACAAAGTGTTGACAGCCTATTTCTAACACACCCCCTAGGCTGTAACACATCAGCCACAGGGAGGTCCAACACCCATGGCAGAGAGGAGGCGGTAATGGTCCTGGCGAACAAGTGACTTGGTGAACAAGTCGGAGGCAATGTGGTCAGCCTTCAGCTGCTCGCGCTGCACGGGCTCACGATGGAAGTAATGGCGGACCTCAATGTGCTTGGTGCGGCCATGGAAGACCGGGTCCTCGGTGATATGAATGGTGCTCTCGTTGTCACACCAAAGCGTGGGGGTTGGTTGAGGATACCCGAGTTCGGCCAGCAAGAAGGAGAGCCAACGGGTCTCCTGGGCAGCCATGGTCCCGGCATACAGCTCTGCATCACATGTAGACAGTGAGACGGAGGACGAACAAGTAGCACGCCAACTCACAACCCCGCTGCCAAGGGTAAAGCAATACCCCTGAGAAGAGCGCCGATCACTCTGGTCATCAGCGTAGGAGTCAGTGTATCTCTCAAGACGAACAGGGGAAGTGCTGCCAAGAGTGAGGACATAGTCCTGTGTGCCTTTGAGATAGCAAAGGACTCGCTTGGCGGCAGACCAGTAGTGGCGAGTAAAGCGACCAGGTGCAATGTAGCGAGACTATACACTGACTGGGTTGGCGAAGTCCGGCCGAGTGCACATCATGGCGTACATGAGGGATCCAACGAGCTCGGGGTATGGCTCGTCACAGGGCTTAGGTGAGGGACCAGAGGGCGCAGTGAGCTGGTGCTGCACAGAGAGTGGGGTAGGCATTGATGTTGCGTCCTGCATCTTGAACCGCGTAAGGACGTTGTTGATGTAAAACTTCTGTGAAAGGGTGTTGGTGCGGGCCGTGCGATCACGTGTGATTTCCATGCCCAAATAGTTCGATAGCTTCCCAAGATCCTTCATGGCTAGCTTCTCACCAAGTGCGGTTTTGACTGTAGCCAACTCGGCCTGATCCTTGGTGACAAGGATCATGTCATCTACATACACTAGGATGAAGAAGCGGGATGGGGTTGCTCGGATGAAGAGGCTGGGGTCAGAGGTGGAGGGGTGAAAGTCGAGAGACCCTAAGGTGCTCTTGAGCTTGTTGTGCCATCCCGGGGTGCTTGCTTGAGGCCATACACTGGCCGATTCAGCTTCCATACAGTGTCTGGTGGAAATGGGGCTGGAAAGGGTCGGTCCATATAGATGTCCTCTAAGGACCCCTTGAAGAAACGTAGAAGACACATCCATGCTCTCAACCTCCATGTCATCTTGAGCGGCAACATTGAGAAGGGTGCGTAGTGTGGGAGGTTTGGCGGTAGGAGAGAAAGTTGCAAAGAAGTCCAGGCCCTCCTTTTGGGTAAATCCCTTGGCACAGTACCGGGCTTTGAAGACAGGAAATTTGCCTGGAAGATGTTTCACCCGGAAAACCCATTTGCCCTTCACAATGTTGACTCCAGGGGGAGGAGAGACATCTGTAAAAGTTCCTGTGTGAATGAAGGCCTCACATTCTGCGATAATGGCGCCTAGCCATTGGGCGGCGTGAGGACCTGAAACCGCTTCAGCATAAGTGAGAGGTGTGGGGATGGAGGGGTTGTCTGAGAAGTTGAGGGTGGGAGCGTCTGCTATATCTAGAAAGAGGGAGCAGAGCGCATGTATGGCTGAGTCGATGTCAATCAACTCCTCATGTCTGTCCTCAAGAAGGGAGGGCATGAAGGAATAATCACCTCCGACAGGAGGAGGATTGAGAGAAATACGAATGGAAAGGGAGAGAGGCTGGGGAGCTTTGCGAGAGCGAGTGCGACCTGCGATGGGTGAGGGAGGCGGAGCTGGAGGAGGAGTAGCGGTAGGGGATGTGGGAGTAGGGTGAAGATTTGGAGCAGGAGCAGGAGCAGTAGGACGGCGTTGGTAGGTTGTGAGAGGAATGGGCTCGAAGGGAGGAGTGGGAGCAAGAGTGGAAGGAGAGGAAGGAGGAGGAGATGGGGTAGGAGGGGCGGAAGAGGGAAGGAGCGGGGGAGACTGCGTGGCGCGGCTCGGCAGGCAGGTGCGCGGGTAGCGCGGGTAGGGCAGGTGCTCACCAGGGGCGGGTAGGGCAGGTGCCACCGGTGGCGGTTGGGGCAGGCGCGCGACTGGCGGCTGCAGGGTAGGGCCGCGACGGGGCGGCTGCAGGTCAGGGCCACGACTGGGCGGTGGTACAGCAGGGCCGCAACGAGCGGCTGAGGGCAGGGCCGCGACGGGTGGCGGCAGGGCAGGGCCGCGACGGGCGGCGAGGTCAGGGCCGCGACGTGGGGCGGCAGGGCAGGGCCGCGACGGGCGGCTGGGTCAGGCCGCGACGTAGGGCGGCAGGGCAAGGCCGTGACGGGCGGCAAAGCAGGGCCGCGACGGGCGGAAAAGAAGGGCCGCGTCGGGCGGCGGGTCAGGCCGCGACGGACGGCGACAAGGCAGGGCCGCGTCAGGCGGCAGCCGGACAGGGCGCGCGACAGCGCAGGTGAGGCAGGCGCGACAACGCGCTTGTGGTGGGCCTTAAAAAAAAATCGTGATCGTTCCCACTAGGGAACCTGCTCAAAAACCATGTGAAAGTAAAAGTGAGGAATGGTTGCATTGAGCAGCATGAGGAGTACAAGTAGGAAACCCTAAAGTGTTTTACCCCATATGAACTACCCCACTACAGCCTACACAGACTATAGCATATAAGTTTGACATTAATGTGACTCCCATGAGATACATGCGTGTTTACGGTTATAAACAGATTTTCTGTTTTGTACAACTGTCAAAATGATAAAGCTAAATAGCGTGACTTTTGCGCGCAATAACTTGTTCGCCTCATCGGAAAAGACGAGACTCGAGATTCAGTTATTCAACTTAAATCTCGAGTCAAACCATGCGCACCCCTCAGGTGCGCAATCATGCCCGACCGATATGTTCGTTCGTGCTGTACACAACGCGATCGTGCGCTGTCTTGACTCGAGCAAGGCGGCCACGATCACCTTGTCTGGTTGTGATTGTGCGCTCTGCGCACGCGCGCAACAGTGTGTTCCTCGTGCGTGGGCCTTTGGGCCAGCCCACATGCGAGATCAGGACCAGAGCTCTCCTTTTGTTTTAGGGCACTCTAGGCTACCCCCCTGTAGACCCCCTCCCCCCCCCTTTGCGTCCTGCTCCCTCAGCTGTGTCTCAGGTTGCACCACCCCCTTTGGTTGAGCCCGTGGAGGTCTCCTCAGACCCCGCTTGCCCGACTGAGGGGAGTGACCCTGCTGCTGACGACATGGAGGTTTCTCGCCGTTCTCCACGCTTGGAGACTTCTCCTGGTTTTCCACCTCTGCCGTTTCGCCGCCTATACAACCCGTCGGTGTGGACTCTGGTGCAATTGGGGGTGGTGATGCTGGAGGTCCGGGCTCTAAGGGTGCTGTCTTTGGGGGTGGCGTCTTCAGAGGTGGTGGTTTTGGGGGTGCTGCTTATGAGGGTGCTGGTTTTGGGGGTGCTGAGCACTCTAGTGGTGGTGGAGCCAAGGGTATTACTGTTGTTGAGACTTCGACTGCGTTCCGCTCTCTGCCGCGATAGCCCTACTTCTTTGAGCAGCAGCACTCATCACTGCCGCTTCCTAGGTCAGTTGCTAGAGGTCTTGGGGGTGTTGGAGCTGGAGGTGCATGAGGTGCTAGTGGCGCTGGTGATGGAGGTGCTAAAGCTGGAGGTGCTGGTGGTTCTGGTGCTGGAGGAGCTGGAGCTGAATGTGCTGGAGATACTGGAGCTGGAGGTGCTCTAGGCGCTAGAGCTGGAGGTGCCGGAGGTTCTAGAGCTGAACGCTCGTGGTTGCTGAGAAGCAGCGGCCGCCTGTCCCTGGTCCTACTCCTCCTCTTCTGTGTCCACCGTTTGACCCGTCTCAGACACGGTTACCACCTGACTCCCCGCTGCCTGCTCTTTCTCATTACACTGAGTCATTAAGCTCCATGACTGAGCATAAAGAGCCTATGTCGCGTCCTGCCTCACCTGTTGCTCGTCGTGCTTGTCATGTTTGTCCTCTACATATCCCATGCACTAACACGATAGCACTTCGTGCTTCCTCTGTTGCATAGCGCCTGTCATGCCGTCTCCTCCATCGTCCTCTCTTTGTAACGTTCCTGACCTCGGGTCTGACCTTACTCGTGTTGTTAGTCTGACTGTCACTCATT